GAGCACCAGCAACAAACCATTCGCTTCTGTCTTTCGCGATCGCCATCCCGATAGGCTCAGGATTCGACGAAGATGGCGACGTAAGGAGTCGTTCAGCTGCTGTAGCAGCTGTTTCACGTGGTCGAGAAGCACATCCCCCANCCACCGTTTTAGACTTTCATTGTGGCCATTGTATTCTGTAACGCTGTATTCCCTATTTATTACTGTGACAAGTACTATATATGCTCCACTATTGTTAATTTGACGCCACCTTAGCACTTACTTTTTTGCCTGTACATCCGCTGTGCAATAGATAAATAAATAAATAAATAAATACATTCCTCGGCGACGGTCATGATGAAAATGGTGACTGTGGAAATAAATGAAAGTTCAAAGTTGGAAGAGTTTTGTTCATGAACACAGAAATCAAGGGGTGAATAAGTGGTGCGGTGATGAGGAAAACTTATTGGCGCCCCTTACTCTAGCCGATTTGAGAGGTAAGGCCGATTCGAAATGCGCAGTTGACAGACGACGATAAACACAGTGGCGAACTTGATTTGACATTTTTAAGTAGACGCCTTATTCCAGTATGATCGATGAGAATTCGGTACTCTTAGTGCGAACATTACCGTTGTTTGCAGAGTTCCGTAAAAATGAGGTTGTGATATAGTGATTGCCATTATATCACATGCGGTATATACTTACTTATACGGCTCGTCTTCACCCGTGGGCGAGCACCAGCAACAAACCATTCGCTTCTGTCTTTCGCGATCGCCATCCCGATAGGCTCAGGATTCGACGAAGATGGCGACGTAAGGAGTCGTTCAGCTGCTGTAGCAGCTGTTTCACGTGGTCGAGAAGCACATCCCCCATCTCGCAGCAGGCCTGCCCTTAGATCGTGGAGATCCTATGGGAGCCCACTCGACTGTCCTTCATCCATCCGTCATCATCTCTTCTCATTGTATGAGGCCCACCGAAATTTTGCGTTCTTCATGTGTTCCACCGGATCGCGGAGTCGAGACATTCTGCGCATATCGGAGCTGCGGAGTCCGGTTCGATATTGCGTATGTCGGTTGAACCTCAAAAGACATCGCTCGAGCGCTCTGTGACTTATGTTCAGAGCCCTTGACGTGGATGCACTGGTCACCCAAGTCTCCGACCCGTAACAGAGCGCAAGAACTGGAATCTAACAGATTAGCGCGACGTTCCGGGTCAGCCAGATGTTTGGTGACCCCTTTCAGAGGTCCGAAGGCTGCCCACGCTAATTAGTGCCGTCTCACCAGTTCTTCCCTCATGTCGTTGTCCATATTCATGGAACGCCCGAATTACACGTAGGACGGAACCTCCTTGATGGGTGTACCATCGATCTTAATTTGACCTTTGTCGGCCCAAGCATTCTTCATGAACTGTGTCTTTGTTTGGTTGATCCGCAGTCCTACCTTCTTGCCTGCTGTATTAAGCTCAGCAAGCAAAGCCTCAGATTCCGTGATGCTGCTTGAAAGGAGAACGATGTCGTCCGCAAAGCGGAGATTTGAGAGGAACCGTCCATCCACACGAATGCCCTTTTCCTCTCAGTCTAGCGACTTCGTAACCCACTGCAGCGCGGTTGTGAACAGCTTCGGCGAAATACTGCCACCATGTCTCACACCCTTACTTATGGGAATGTGGAGAGGTCGTTGAACAGCTTCACCGCCACGCTGCAGCAACTACTGCAGTCAGCTAGTGTTCTTATGTAGGGAGGGTCCACTCCTTGATTGACCAGTGCTGACAGGGACGCATTCGTTTCGACGCTGTCAAAAGCCTTTTCATAGTCAACAAATGTGTGAACAAGAGGCACTTGGAATTCACTTCGATGATCATTGCGACCGCTTGGATGTGGTCTAAGCAGCTGAATCCCTTCCGGAATCCGGCCTGCTCTACAAGTTGAGCTTCATCCAGCGTTCGCGATATGCAGGTCAGAATTATCTTCGTGAACAGCTTGTAAAGCACACTTAACAAGCCTATTTTGGGGCAATTGCGAAAATCATCTCGGCCTCCCTTCTTGTGAAGAATGACCACCCGCGAGTTCCTCCACTGGTTGGGATCTTCTTCTTCTGGCGATGGGATGTCATGTGTTGCGAGAAGCGCAGGAAGTTCGTAGCCTCCTGCACGAAGTAGCCCGGCTGAGATCTTGTCGGAGCCTGGAGTTGTACCCCTTTTCATGCTCGCAATCGCAACTCTNTGTGCATCGCCCAGCCTAGCGTTGAAATTTCCAACAACGGATTTGTAGAAGGACCTTTCGTTGTGGATGATTTCCTCAAGTTGGTCGTAAAACGCATTGAGCCCTACTTCGTCAGCTGTAGAGTGCGGAGAGTAGCAGTTGACGATAGGGATGGTCTTCAAATGCGTATGTCGTAGGCGTGGGATGGCAAAGCGAGGAGACAGGACTTCGTGAGAATCGATGAGATGGATGACAGATGGGTGCTCGATGAAACCAACGCCGCCGACACCACGAGTGATGAGGATTCCATCGTTCGTTCGTCGTGCGTCGGTCCTCCGGCTTTTGGTTTCTTGCAGAGCAATAACATGATATTTAATGTGACTAGCCGCATCGAGGAGCTCAAGAAGAGCTGCATTGGAGGAGACTGCTCTTGCATTGTAGGTATAAAGTAGGAAATAGTCTCCGTGTCGTGTGGAGGTAGTACTATCATGGGCCGAAATCCAAGGCGTTCTGTGCAACCCGCGATTTCTTCGCCTCACCGGTCGCCATACCGTCCGACGCCGGAGTCGGCTGGGCCCAGGGTACGGGGTACTGAGGCTGTTTTATTGCTGTTTTAGCGAGCTTGCTCCCTAGAGTTTCAACGCTGCCTTGCCAGGGCCAGTGCTGAGTCCTCACCACCGTGGCTATAGCCACTCTGGATCGAGGGAGTGGAGGTGACCTACTCTTAAGACAGGCAGACGTGTCGTTAAACTATTAGTTATATATAGATATGTATATCCTACTACATATATATAATTCGCTAAGTGTGTCTGTTGGTGTGTCGGTGTGTTTGTGTGTGTGCCGGTGTGTGTGTCTGACCGGAAATTCATAACTCCTGTCCCCGTGAACCTAGAGCGTTCAAAGATGGTAGGAGTACGGGGGACAGGATGGGAACACCTATGGTGGGTGGCGGGAACGGATTCCGTGCACAGGGAGACGTGCGCGATAGAAATTTCGGGCAGCAAATTCATAACTCGTGTCCCCATGGGCCTAGAACGTTGAATTTTTGTAGGAGTACAGGCGGTAGGATGGGAACACTTATGGTGGGTGTTTGGACCGGACTCCATGCAGAGGGGGCGATGCGTGCGCAATAAAAATTTGATCCGCAAATTCATAACTCCTGTTTACGGGGATCTAGAGCGTTAAAATTTGGTAGGGTTATACTTTCCATACTAACAGTGGATCTTCAACATTTTAGTAAGTGATGTAGGATATGACGGCTCGGTAGGTACTCGGTGACAAGAACTGATCATAACTGATAATAGAAGATAGAGGCCACCTACCGATCAAAATCCCAAGGTCTTCGGTATCTACGATGTAGCTTTGACCGTTCCGTATGTTTCATTCGATAAGACGGGATCGTAGAGCAGGGTGACAAAAGTGAGTTGTACGTGCAGTGATAGGGATCCATCAGGGCAATACTATAAGCAGATTAGTACTTTGTTCATTTCTCACTATTAGATTACGACCCCAGCAAGGTTTGTGGTTCAATGAAGAGTCCTTTTTGCTCGATGTCATTTGCGACAAAACTTAATCTATCCCCTGTAATCTAGATTTCTCAACAAATGATATCTCCGTAAAGAAAAGGGTCCATTGAAAAAAAAATATCTGATAACGCTGCTATCGTCACTCAGAACATCTCCACAGCATCATCTTTGATTGTCTAACAGTTGGATTTCAAGGGTATTTATTTCTAAGAAAGACAGCAAAAGCTCGAGACCTCCAATCAAAGGCGTAAGTACCGACTTCAACTGAATACCATTTGCACTGCCCTGTTAGTCCTGTGTCAAAAATCGTGTAGAGGAAACTGTCATTTGTTTCAAAAAAGGAGTGGAGAGTTAGACTTGCTACAACTTCATCAAAGAAGGAGGGAGCTTTCTATTTTTGTTGTGTCAAAGAAGGATTTCGAGCTCTGTTTCAGTTTCATACTCTCACTCAGCTAAACAGCGGAAGAAACTCAAACTCAGCTAAACAGCGGAAAAAACTTAAATCTATAAACTTCGAGAAAAAAAATTCTTCTGTTCAACATTTCTCGGGATAGGGTCTTTGACACAGGAAGGAGGAGAGCCTGGCGTTAGCCGGGCGATCCGACCGGTAAATCCTACTTATATAATCGGCTAAGTGTGTCAGTTGGTGTGTTTAAGTGTATCTGACCGGAAATTCACAACTCCTGTCCCCGTGGACCGAAAGCGTTCAAATTTGGTAAGAGTACAGGCGGCAGGATGGGAACACTTTTAGGGGGTGGCAGGACCGGACTCCGCCCAGAGGGTACGGGGTTTGTGAGAAATAAATGTTTGAGCCAAAATTCAGAAGTCATGTGCCCGTGATCCTGGAGCACTCAAACTAGGTAGGAGTACGGGCGGCAGGATCAGAACACTTATGGTAGGTGGCAGGACCAGTCTCCGCCTACCATGGGCGGAGTTTGAGCAAAAATTCATAACCTCTGTTCCCGTGCACCTAGAGCGTTCAAATTCAGTAGGAGTTCAGGCGGCAGGACGGAAACACTTAAGGTGAGCAGCAGGATCGGCTCCGCCCACTATGGGCGGAGTTTGAGCGAAAATTAATAACTTCTGTCCCCTGGACCTAGAACGTTCAAATTTGGTAGGATTATGGGAACAGAATAGGAACGCTGACTGTAGGTGGCAGGAAAGGACCTCGCTTACAGAGGGCGGGGTTTGCGCGAAAAATGTCAATATGGCCATAGGACGTTCAAAGAATTCCAATTGCACGAAAATTTCACGGAGGTACGCTTCCTTGGCCCATCTTTCCTTTTTTTTCTTTGAATAATCGCCTTTGTGATATTATACGATGTTCTCACCGGACGCAGCAAAGATGGCTTCTAGGAAAATCGCTCCCAATTCGGAGCTAATACTAGGGGTGTAGAGCTTATAAGGAAAAAGGAGAATCCGAATAGTTACTAACGCATAGCAAATTTCTTAAAGGAAGGGGGACTGCCCGGCGAAGCCGGGCGACGCCATAAAAAGGAGGGAAGCCCGGCTAACGCCGGGCGGCCCGACTGGTAATATAATAACTACGAAAGATGAAGACTCTAACGCAAAACTCCGTCGAGCAGTGGGGAATTTAGGCGAGAGTTTCGGACCATACAAGCCGACATCTGATGGTAGTGACGAAAGTATATGGTAGGGCAACAGGACGCCTATCCTTTGGTAGGCGGATATTTCGAACGCGATGACTTAGACGTAACATATCGGGGCTTGCTGTACGCAACTTAACGCGTGAAGAACGAGTTCAACCGTGACCTCGAGCGGACGGACACGGGGGACTCAAGCAAGGGGGCCGCCATCCCTCCGGTTCCCCGCACATCCACCTAACCACAGCTTCGAACGCGAAACGGCAAGTCGGTCAAGATTAACTCCCGCATGACTGAAGAACACTGGAGCTTTGCATTAGAGCATAGGATGAAATACTAAACATTAGAAAGGAAATAGAAATATTTTTCCACATGCGGCTTTTGATGAATCTCGGCATACTATCGAAATAACTTTATTTGAACAACTCCACATGAGTTTACGATACCTTGATAGCTAACGTTTCGATGAAACTACCGTCGTCGGAGCCTGAAAGGATGGGATCAATTCATGAAATTATGAATTCATGAAATCAAACATATCCATACCCCACAATATCTTCGAGACCAACTTGATCATCATGCAATTCTAGGTGAATAAAAAGTACCGTACCTCCCTGATGAACAGAACCGGCCCTCGTGAGCCACGAAGATTGGCTGTCTCGAGTTCCAAATTCTTGGTAAAAGGCTAACCTTATATAGGGGGTGAGTTCGCGCGTAATTGACACGCAGTCCCCCTTCCAATTCATTTTTGGATCCTTGACACGGATCCAAAATGTCTCTATGGTCTTCCTCGCGGCTGTTTGTGTCTCATGCGCCAAGACCTCGACCGTGACCCCGAAATCGTCTCCACTATGAGGTTGTGTCCTGTGGCAACCTAAAGCAGTTGAAGGGAGCGACCTAGCCTTACCATCTAAATGTTCTTTAATTCGTACATGGCGTGGTCTAGCAGTCTCACCTATATATGTATCTCCACAGTTTTGGCAAGTGCCATTAGGGCAGACCACACAATTAGGTGTTGCACATGTGCGATCGTACATGCGATCTCGGACTAAACGGCGCTTTAGATTGTCAAAAGAGATTTCGACGATACCAACAATGTTTTCAAGACCCGCTCTCCTCAGACACTTCCTTATGGAAGTGCTCACTTCATCGGATATGAAGAGCATAGCATTTGGGATTTTCGTACTGAATAAATTACCATTTGTCCTGCTTGACTCTTTACCTGCTCTGGCTTTTCAAAATGGAGGAAGTTTGTAGCCATTAAGCTCACCAATATTTCGAGCTATGTTCACGGACTCTCGTTCTTTCTCTCTAGAGCTAACTTCTGCAGCAGTTCGAAACATACTCCTAACCACTGCTCGTTTCGTTTGGAGAGGGTGTGCAGATTTCCAAAGAACAATGTTGTTTTTATTGCTGGGCTTTCTGCACTTCGTGGAATAGTCACCCTTAGCAATTCTTAATTGGACGTTCAGGAAAGGCAGCCACTTTTCTCGAGTAACCTTTATCCGCTCCGATTGTGCATTCAATAGGTCAAAACAAAGGTTCACCTCGTCCTGCGTAGAGCAAACTATGTAGCAGTCGTCGATTTACCGACAATACAACATTGGGAGACGTTCTAGCACGGGCACTTCTACTTTAGCCATGAAGGCAATGGCCAAAGTAGAACCAGTCACTGCCCCATGGCAAGACCTCTAGTTTGCGCATAGTACTTCCCAACCGCCTGAAGATGTTACAGTTCAGGCACTCTTCTAGAATAATCATTACTCGACTTTTTGAAAGACCGTACATGTTGACTGTGGCTTTCGTGCTGGGAAAGCAGTTCTAGCACAGCTTAAATAGCGACATCGTTACTTACGTTGGTATATAAGGATTCCGCATCGAAGGATTCCATGGCGCATGTTTCGCTTAGCCGCACTTTACGAAGTTTACTTAAAAACATGTGGGTGTTGGTCAGGTGCGACGGAAAAAGCAAAGTAATTGTGTTAGTATAACATGTAAAAACCATCCTGTCAGTGGGACCATTCACGCAACTGAATGTAGGCCTAACTTTAACGATGGGGGTGTTATTGATGCAAAGTTGGCCAAATGCCACGGACGGGCCTGTAGATTTTGTTGGCTTCTGACGATCCATGACGTCTGTGATCTTGACTTGTGATGACTGTGCAAAGTTTTCGCATTCTGATATTTGCAAGGAGCGGGATTCTTTCCTATTCCTTAAGAATGTTCGCTATAAATTTGTTGGAGGCTGTCTGCATGCCACCATACATGATTTACGTAATTTTCTTTCGAAAGTCCTCTGGTGCCGCAATCCGCTGGATTTTTGCTGCTGTCAATGCGTCCAAACTTCACCGATAGTTTCAACGATTCTTTGACTCGGTTATGTATTGTCAACGAAACAAGCAACAACAAGCAATAGTCAACAGCAACCATTCTGGGAAGTTTATGTTGGGATCAATGGATATGTCTCGCATGAAATGCAACCGTTTTTCTGATTCTTTTGGAGTTAGCGGTTCATCCTATTCATAGTGATGTTTCCACATTTGTTGGGAGTGTTTTGCCTTCACTAACGATAGTATGAACCATCCGAGGGAATCATATATCGAAGCAAGCTGCTGTGCTACTGCTGTGCGCGTTTGCTGACGAAATTCTTATCGATGTTGATTTTCAACTCGACGTGATCTGTTATCGAATTCCATGGTACTCCGAGTACTTTGGGAATTCGACTGATTGATCGCAAATTTTGGTGGAGTCCATGATGTCTGCATCATTGGCGATGAATTCACGTAGGTTCATCTGCATAATTGAGAAGATTGTTTTCGAATCGGCGTATTTATGGATAATTCCCTCCTTGGAATCTGTGCTTGAATATAGAATGTCGACATGAAGGTTTCTGCAATTTCATCTGTCATTTCTTCATTTTTCACATAGTGCTTCGTGTGATACAGAATCGTTGCACTGAGACCGAAAGGGGAGGCGTGGATTCCAAATGTTACACGGATGAATCGGTAAACAGCAAGGTTTTCCTGAGTGAGCGCTTCCTTGATGTTCTTCACCCAAAGGCATCAAGTAAAATCTCTGTCCGACTCTTGCAGGCGTATTCGGAGGAGTGCTCTCTCAACGTCAGATAACAGGATATATTTCCTGTACGAAGCGCAGCAATATACCAAAGAGTGTTTCGATAACATTGTTGGTCCTTGATGAATCATATCATTGAGTTAGGGCAGTTTTTGTAGTGAGCCGATGCGTCGAATACAACGCGGAATTTGCAGTTGTTTTTTGTGGAGTTATCACTAGTTAGTGAGGGAGATAGTCTCTTCTGGTTAACGATGAATCTTCAGATTCGTTTACTTCTTCTAGAATGCCTGCTTTAAGTTGTTCTCTGGAAAAATTGTCGAACTGCAGTAAAATATCTGGGCGACCGCTGTCCTTTTGAAGAATATTTTTTATCGTTTCCATGAGTGCTCTGTTGTCTGGAAATTCAGAATATTGCTCCTTGAAGGGAATTTTCACATAATATCCATCATCACCTTTCTGGATGGTATAATTGAATTTCTTCAGAACTTGAGCATTTGTGTTTGCTTTTTCTTATTCTTCGGTTCAGTCTCGTCTTTTTCTCTCGCCTTCTTAGCGGGTTCTCGGTAGTGTAAGGGATAAGAGCACGGTCCCCGGAAAGGACAAGTACGGGTTCGAGTCCCGTCCGAGACTGGAGTTTTGCCCACAAATAGCCATTCTTGTGAGACTTTCGCTTCGCGCACTGCGGCGGTAAAACAGCAGTTAACAAAAACATCAAGTCAAACCAATATCATAGAAGTGTCTGTCACTAATCTCTTATCAAAATAGTACATTGAGGCTGGGATCTGTTGCTTTCTTCTTTCACCCAACCCCAGAGACGACGATGGACGTCGTTGACGGTGGCACGCTGCTAAGGTCATCGAGTTGATCCCGGCTTCTTGCAAAGCATTTTCGAGATTACTTCACTTCTTGTTTGGACTGACGGATGCTTTCATCTCAAAGGCTGACCACACTGAGCCACACATGGGATTTAGGTCAGGGCTCCAGTGTGGTCACTGTTCGAACGTTACGAAGTCAGGGAACCCCTTTTGCGGAATTTTCGGACAATTTCTGATCTGCGGTCAGGAGCATCATCTTGAAAATATGTCCGAATCGCCAAATTGTCCTATTGCGCACGAAGAGATCGAACAGGTCTCCAAATCAACTTTCACTCCTTATATTACAAAAATAATCAGTGCTTCTACCTCGGCGGTGACGCTCGCAAAGGATATCGCAGAAAGTCAGCGAGCCTAGCGCTGCATAATTTCCATTTATTTCTGCTTTATACAAAACTTGTAGCCCTGCTTACTGGGCACCTTTTTCACCGCTGATATCTTTTCGCCGGTGGACAGGAATTTCGTACGACAATTTTTTTGTATGCGGCGGGGCAGCTTCGGTGAGAAAACATTTCTCTTCTTTTTAGTCTGCTCACTGGGGGAATCACTTTCTGATCGTATGCAGGCCCTGTCGTGCAGATGATGCTTTACGATTTCGCGCAGAAAACTTCATGAGATATCCATTCATTTAGTCATTTTGGGCTCAGAATGAACTCCGCTTTTACGCAGACCCTCGCCCTGCTTCTCTAAAACTCCCACTAAATATAACCGCAGGCCTCTTAGGTTTACCACTCCTATCTGCAATTGTTCCCAACTCTCGAGAGCGTCTTATGGTTGAATGTACCGCCTGCTTGTTACACTAGTTCGTCTTTAGATGCACCGTGCGAAAAGTGCTTGTAAATGCGAAGTGACGATTTATTCAAGGGGTAATTACGCTTACTTTATTTCCAAAATCTACCAAAAGTTTAGTATCATCAGGAAGGTAATAATGTAATCTTCCTTGTGAAATAGAAGAAAGCGAACGAATTGCTATGCCCTCAGAAAAAATTCGCTATGAGCATCAGCGCGCGCTGTAATCATAATTTTGGCCCACCCTGTACTTCTGTTATTCCCTCACCTCCGACCGCTGATCGGCTTCCTTCGAGTACGTCTGAACCCTCCTCAAGAAGTGGTGTGACTAGGGGGCGACCAAAAGATCTGATCTGATTTATCAGGGAAGTATGTTAATCCCATATCTCGCAAAGGAATACGAGTGGACCAGGAGCAAGCCCTGTCTTTTGCTCAAGGTAGGCTGTGCCTCACCAAGTTACCCATACAAAATAAATTCTTACTCTTCAATGCTCGTTCTTTAGTCAATAAAGTTCCTGACTTTAACCTAATCTTAGCACAGGCTCCGTGTGCTGTCCTCGTAGCTGAAACATGGTGCAAGCCACATCAAATTCATGACGCTACTCTGAGTCACCAAGGAAGATATGCTATCTATCGCTGAGACTGACAGGGTGAAAGGCCTGGAGGTGGTGTTCTAGTTGCAGTTCGCATGGGTGTATCCCACAGGTGCATTGCAACTAGAAAATTCTCTGAATATTGCCAAGTGGTTGTTGTAGAGATGGTTATTGGCTCCCATCCCATACCGATGGCCACTGTTTACAGAAGCCCATCTTGTTGTCATGATGCTTTCAGTGAGCTCATAGCCTTTTTGACAGATGTCATCCTCAAAAGTCCCCATCGTGTTATGATCATGGGTGACTCTAACTTTCCTTTAATTGATTGGCCATCGCGTGGTCACCGTGGAAACATCAGCAATGTCTCTTCAGCTAACTTCGTAGATTTTTGTGCATCCTTCGACCTTAGTCAGGTAGTAACAGAACCCACACTTGGCCTAAACATTCATGACATTGTTCTTACATCTGACCCCTGCTTGGTCGGAAGGGTTGAAGTTTTACCTCCCTTCAGCACCTCCGACCATTGCTGTGTGAGCGTTTTATTGTCTAGTCCTATACCCTACCGGTCGCAGTTGAATAGATCTCGCCCCAATTTTGCACGGGGGCACTGCAAATGAGTCATACTCGAAATTTGTTGATGTCTGTCACTCCCTTATTCATCGACATGTTCCAATATTGAGGAACAAATCTGGTATTGGAGCAACTGCGATGCCGAGAACTATTCTCCGACTACGTGCTAGGCAGCATAACCCCCTAGCGACCTGCCTTTGTCGGCTCCTCTTTTGACAATTCTCCACTCTTTTCAGGTGCCTCTTGGAAATCCTTTCTTCAATAATGGGCGGTCCCCGCCCCTCTTTTTCTCCATCAGCATGCGCCGGTCCTCCAGACTTCATTGAATTGGTCACTTTGAGCGGCTCCAAATGAACACAGTATTCCATAAGTTGCCTTGGAGAAGATCGTACAATTCCATTGCGCGTGGTACTTCCCACCACTTCCTTGGATCTTCCACTAATCCTACACGGAGATAGGCTATGGAAGCTTTTAGCACTCCAATATCTTCTGATAGGAGATCGTGCCACTGGTGCACAAAGTCGGCAAGGTCATCGAGGTATCCAAGAATGTGGGTCCGCGCTCTCTGGTTTATACGATTCCAGCTAACATCATCGCATGAGCGGGGCCCATTCACCATCCAAACATGCGTTCCGCAGGATAACCAGAGGTCAACCGCTGCAGTGAACTGAATCCACGAAGGAACATCCTCAGGTTCCCTTAGCGGCATCACCCCCACAACGGTTCCAACTTCATCAGCGAACAAGACGCGGTTATTACGCCCGGACTTCACGGAAAGACCAGCAGTAAAACAGAGTAGTCCTTGGCCCTTTCCTGCAAAAAATCAACCTTCTCAGAACAGCTGGCACCAGAATGACGGTTCTGCTATGCTCATTGGCGTTCGCCACCACGGACGTATTGTCGACCACTCCATTGACGTGCCATATGCCATCCGTATTGAATGATCCTACTCGTATCCCACGGCCAACCAGGCAGAATCGTGTGATTAAACCGTGCCTCCTGAAACCATACCACTCATCAACTTGACATGTGAACACCGGAAATGAAGAAACAGTAGGCAACGGCGACAAATTTCGGATTCAGACCAAGCAGCTACTATTAATGATCCTTTGCACCTTGCACGAGACTGATCCTTCGCTCAACGAGATAGTTAACACTCTGGCCGCATCCAGAACACATTGCCTTCCTTCGCCATCTGCTGGAAGTGGCACCGAAGGTATGACATCGGGGATGGTAATCTTCTGACTTCGCGACAAGATGACAACGGGGAACCAGGACGTCGTCCACACGTCGTAGTCGTTGACAAATCTTTACGTACTGATAGTCTTCCACAGGCGAACTCTCGCGCGCTCTCCTTTTATCTTTAGGACATCTGCCTCTTCTCCGCCTAGTGAATTTTCCCACTGGTTCATCACTAATTTCATCTGGGTCTTTGATCAAAAGATCGAACTAAACCCTCTCTGGGTTTTCAATCTCGCGGTACGGTGGATCCCTCTCACACGCTAGCCTGGGATTTTTTGCATGGCTCCGCTCTCGCGGCATCTTCATGAAATTCTTTCACCTACTTTCGCCAAATAAGACTTGTCCACCGCCTTTGTGTCACCATAGTATTTCTTCATGCATTCTCTATACCTTTCCGAGCGACTTCATCACGGATCACTCGCATACCGCGTACAAGCTCCGTTCTGTTGTCGTCGAGGTCAATCTCACTAAGGCGCACTCTACTCTCACGCAACGAGTTCTGGGGAACGACCGGATCAAACCATATAGCAGGAAGAACGGACTTTCTCCCGTCCCTGCATGCGGTGTAACACTGCACGCGAAGGCTGCATTCGTGAGCCGCAAATCCCACATTTCTGGCACTTCTATCTTTTTCTTCAGAATTCGCTGCGGGATCCCTATCGCTTGCTCTGCTGCCACATCCTCTCATGAGTTGTACCCTTTTGTGGCAGTGTGCTTGATACCGGAAATTTTTGCAAGTTCATCGAGCATTTCATTCACGAGCTCAGTTCCCTGATCCGTGTGCAATTGCTTCGGCCAGCGACCTCCCTCGCATATCCATCGCTGGAATATCACTACTGCCCTGGAGGTCGCTGTCTTGTCCTTCATTGAGTAAGCGCCTAGACATTGTGGAGAAATGATCCGCATGTGCTAGTATATACTTCATGCCACTGGCACTGAAACCCATTTTAAAATATCGGCGTATACGCAGTCGAACGGTTTGCTCGCCACAAAGGGCTTCAGTGGCGGCGTATTGGTTGGTCTGGGATTTGTCAGGGAACATTTCCTGCAGGCTCGCACCCACAATGTCTGGCAATGTCTTTCTCCATGGTCCCCCAGAAGACTATTTCCAAGTATTCGACACATCTTCTTCGCCGAGAAATGCCATGCGAAACATCCTCCGTGTGCCTCACCGAACACCTCTATCCTTTTTGATTTGGGAACTACAACCACTGCAGTCCCGTCTTCTCGCAGCAACTTCAGGGCGCCTTCCTCCACCATGAAGTCTGCCACTTTCAGTCTTTTTGCCATGCCAGACAACTTAACATATTCGTCCAGTCTATTTGCCCTCAAACTTTCGAAGACTCTGCTATAGTCTTCATCATTTTGCAGCTCTCTCATCCACTCTGATGTTCGACTTCAGACACCGAACAAACAAATTGTCTTCTCCTGAATTGGGTATTTCGTCTACCTTCCCATCCGCTGGGAGTCCTCTTGTCGGCAACGGCATTGGCCTTGCCTTACACGTATTCGATGCTAAGCCTGTACTGCTGAACCTCTTAGCACACTTGCGGAAACATTTTGCCTCTTGAAAAGGACCGTGAGCGATCGATGGTCCGTCCTCACTATAACGTGCATGCCATACACGAAGAAGTGGAGCTTACGCGAAGCCATTACAATACTCAACGCCTCCAAATCGGTTATGTGGTAATACCGCTCTGCCCTTGAAACTTTTTCGACACAAAATAGATGGGATGCAGGAATCCGTCCTGTCCCTTTTGTGACAAAACAACCCCCACTCCAATTCGGGATACGTCCGCGTAAAGAATAAACGGGCGCACACCGCTGCTCGTTGCCTCAATGTCCGGCTGTGCCAACACAGGTGGCTGCATCAGACCTGCCTTCAGTTGCTCAGAAGCTTCTTCTTCTGCCCTATGCCATCGCAAGGGCGCTTTCGTAGTGGTCAACTCGAACAAGGGACGTGTGATACTTGAAAAACCTAGCACGAATTTCTGTTAATATCCGCACAAGCCCAAAAAAGTACGCATTTCTGCCAAACACGTTGGAGGTGGATAGTTTTGAATTTTCTCGATCTTGACGGGATCAGCGTGAACCCCTTCACTATCCACTTCATGGCCAAGGAAGGCTACTTCCCTCCACAACAGCATGCATTCCCGAGGCTTTAGCTTCAAATCAACCCGTTTCGTGGTCTCTAAAACGGTCTCAGCATCTTCATATGCTGCTACTTGGTTTCCGTGGCAATCAGCACGTCTTCAATGTACACGAAAACGTGTTGGTTATCATGTTCCCCAAAACTGAGTCCATGAGTCTCTGAAACCTTGCTGCGGATGTGCACAGGCCAAAGGGTAGGACTCAAAACTGGAACAAGCCTTCGGACGTTACGAACGCACTCTTTGTCTTCGCATCTTCCGACATCGGGATTTGCCAAAATCCCGAGGCTATGTCCAGCGTGCTGAAGTACTTTCGACCTTCTAGGCTATGAAGAATCATATCTATCCGCGGCAGTGGGTATGCGTCTTTTTTCGCATTTTTGTTAAGCTCCCGTTAGTCGATACGCAATCGTAACGGTCCATCTTTCTTTTTCACCAAAACGACCGGCGATGCCCACTCTGACTGCGAAGCTTCTATAATGCCTCGATCCAGCAGTTCCTTGAGCATTCCTTTGAATTGCGATCGCGCACCTTTGGGCACAGGTCTTACCTTCTGACGAATCGGCGACGTTCTGTATGACTAAATCGGTCTGTGTCAGTTCTCTGTCTTCCACGGCGAACACACTCGGTCACGATTCTCCATAATTCCCATCGTCCTCCTCACAGTGCTTCCTATTCTCTCTCAAAAGGTTATCCATCAACAGTTTCCTTCGCTTTCTGCAATGCTTGCTTAGCTAATATCAAAACGCCCGTTGCTACCCTAGTTGTCTTCACTGCGGTGCACTCAACATCATCCTGCTCGAACTTGTCTACTTCTAGACCGGTTCGAAAAATTAGCGGTTCCTTCTGCTGTCTGCTCCCTTTATCCTATCATTTGGCGTAGCGTTCTTCACCACATTTTCACGCTGCAACGGTCGTTTGTTCACCATCACATTCCTTTACTGGGATCTTCACCACCCTCTCGAATTTCATTCGGTTGCCCGACGCATCGAAAATCCATTTCCCGAAGTCTAATGACAGCTCCTGACAATATGGCGGCTGACCTTGATGAGATTATATTATAGACCGGCATAGGCATGATGGATATCTCCGAACCTGTATCCAGCAGCGCTCTCCATATTCTTCCACCTACTTCAACCTTGCTTAGGTGCTTTTTCTCAGATGAAGAAGTCTCCAATTGCTGCGGGTGCGACATCCCCTTGGTTTTTTCATCCTCTTGGAGTTGCGCGACGCCTGTCGCTTCACTCTCCACGTGTCTAAATCCAGCTCTGCAATTTCTAGCGGGTTGCCCTATGCCTTAACATTTGTAACACCTCGTCTTTATTCCTTTCTGTTTTTCTTGACGGCCTTTTTCCACATCTCTCACCCTTTGTTTGGCTTCACGTGCGTACTAGAACACCTGCTCTTCTCACAACCCACGTTAGAAGTCCTGGGTGCCGTGCTACTAGCCAACAGACGTGATGGTATTTTGCTCATACTCATCGACCTCGTATTTGCCAAAGTCAGGTTCCGCCGCTTAATTCATAGCGGTATCCTTGAGGCTGGTGTACCAATAGATGATAAGATTTAGGTGAATGTACCAGTTGCTCATACAACTGATGGGTCCTCACTGTCATCAGAGCAGTCTCATTCAGCTCTGGATATACCTTGGCTGACAGCCGTCCTAATTGTACGCAATGCTCTGCCACCGATTGCTCTTCGGCCTTCCACAGCCTTCTCAGCTTCCCTTATGCGACTACTTTGGTGGTCTGTGCATCAACCCTGTACGTCTTGGCTATAGCTGCCGCTAAACCCTCGAAAGACCCTCGCCTAATGCTGCGAGGTAACGCCTCATACTGCTTTTTGGCATGACCACTTAGCTTCGACTTCAACAAGGTTTTTAGCTCTTCGCTAGATCAGTTTTGTGTTATATATTTCAAGGAAAAAGACCCAATGAAATTCTTCCACGGAAGATCCTTATCTTCCCCCGAAAATAGTCTGACATCTGGGAGCGCCACATATCTCAAATAGGCTCCTAACTGATTCTCCGCGAGTGAGATGGATCCTTGACTACTCGGCGTCGGCTCATCCACTCACTATCGCAACTATCAATCTCGCTCAACTCGTCCAAACTAGACATCGATGATAACTCACTGGGCTCCATCGGCGTCTTCCCTGAGGATTTTCTGGATCTGCTCGACACCGAGTTGCTCAACTCTTGCGGCTTTTTTCGCCCAGTTTGCAATGTATGTTTACATGAGCTCACCTCGCGCTGCAACCTCTTCAATGCTTCGATATCAGTCTTCGATGTCTCCTCAGCTGCCTTACCTGGCACCGTCGTTCATACGCCGCTTCTTAGGGACTCCTAATTACGCGATTTGAGTGACCGCAGTTCCTTACGTGCCAATTTCAGCTCGCGCTGCAGTGACAACACTTCTTTTTCCTTCTCCATTAATTTTATCATCCTCTTTTTCAACTCCTTACAATTCACCACTGTCTGTTCTCGCTCCCATCCCGTACACTTCTCAATCTCATTGATCATAGCTGCCTTTATGGCTAGCTCTTCCACGGCCTCTACTACTTCCATCTGCGCGAAGCAATCCAATGCCGCCATCAGTTCCTCTGCAACATTTCTCTCCTTTTCCTCGCACGCTTGCTTCAACTGTGTCAATTGCTGCTCTACCTTAGCTACAACTATTCGCAGCACTCTCTCACAGTTCTCCCGTCTCGCATCTCCCGAGCGCCAGTATTTTGCCACCGACCAACACTTCCACCTCTTTCACACTTTCGAGCGCTTGGTGACATATCTTAAGCGCGTCCAGCTCTTCATCCTTGTTCATATCAAGGGTCACTGGGGTGTCAACCTCCATCTCACGCTATTGTGGGGCTACTGCAACATGTGTGATTACTTCGGCATCTCTCGCATCATCCGGCACCACCGACGCCATCGCACGCACGCCAGGTTATGTGTGGTGCCAGGTTCCTTCAGTCGATATCAATCGATAGTCGTGCACAACTTAGTTGCCACAGAGAAGAGGACTGCGTTTACTCTTTACCAAAGGGGTGCACCACTATCGGTTCCCAGCTAGCGAAGGAATCTGACCCTGCACTGTCTCAACAAGTTGGGCTCTCTTTGGAAAGCCACTACTCGCTAGCAGTGAGTGAAACAACGACCACTCGAGGGAAACCCAGGGGATCGTTGCTGACCGAAAAAAAAACGAGAAATCCGTGACCAGAACTTTCACCTATTTGTGTCCAATGCTCACTCCTTTACAGGTCGGCTTGGACCCCAAGTAGTATCTTCAGGTAAAATTTAGTGCAGTTTTCGACCGAGCACACCGGATCTAACATCAACCGAACCAAACGGTTTATTTTGGCAATTATAAAACAATGGTAAAACGGTAACATGCAATAAGCAATCAACAGCTACTAAATTGACGAACGGGTAGGATACCTGACACTAAAAAAACTGAGCCGGAAGACGTGCTGTGGCGCAGAGGACTCCCACCGGAGAAAATAAGTAACAACTAATCTTAGTTTTTTTTTTAATCTTAGTTTCATGAACAGTGAAATGCCTCGTAAATGGAAACATGCTATTGTTATTCCGCTGCCCAAAAAAGTACCGCTTTCTGATCCTGGAAACTATCGGCCTATAAGCTTGATCTCTATTTTCGCCAGAGTTTTTGAAAAAATTCTCAGGAAATACATGGTTTCTCATATCGATAAGTTTAGAATAATTCCAAATTCCCTTCATGGTTTTTGTAAAGGTAGGTCTATTGAGACTTCTTTACTGGATTGTCTCAGTGACTAGACAACCTCTTTGGATCGGGGCAAAAATGTAGATGTGGTTTATTTTGATTTCCAAAAAGCATTTGACAAGGTTTCCCATGAGTTATTGATTCAAAAGCTGGAACAACTTGGTTTTCATCCTCTGGTGAGGAATTGGATAAAAGAGTTTCTGTGTAATAGAACATTTCAAGTTTTAGTGAAGGACTCTTTCTCATCAGTTCGTACCGTGAAATCAGGAGTACCCCAAGGCGGGGTACTTTCACCGGTTTTGTTTAACATATTTACATCAGACTTTCCCTGTTTTCTTAAGGATCTTGGCGTTGTTTGCAACCTCTATGCAGATGACATAAAAATCTATAAAGAGGTCTTCGGAGTCGGGTCTGACATAAATCTCCAAAAAGCAATTGATAAAGTAGCTGAATGGTCTGAAAGGAATCATATTCCTCTTTCCATTGAGAAAACACAAATGCTGTGCCTGGGTAAACATGCTCGAAATCCTTCATATCGTTTGGGCGGCTCAACACTTAAAGTTGTATCAGAAGTCCGCGACCTGGGATTTCATTATGACAGAACTCTTAACTTTTCTAATCATTATAAAGTACTAGTTTCAAAAGCCCTCCGTCGAAGTTTCAATGTTTTCAAGGTGCTTCGCACCAATGACTCTAAAACTCTGCTTAGGGCTCTCAAGGTCTACGTCCGTCCCATTTTGGAATGTGGATCTACTGTTTTCACACCCTATAAGAAAAAGATATTTATGCTTTGGAAGGAGTTCAGAATAGCTTCACTCGTAAACTTATGATGCGAAGTCATCGTTTAAATTATAACGAAATACCTAGTGGAAGTGAGCGTAATAAGATACCTGGTCTAAAGTCTCTTGAATGGAGAAGAAAGAAATGTGACATACTTATGGCATATAAAATTTTAAATGGCATAACCCCCGTGGATATATCCAAGTTCTTCACAATCGTGTCTTCAAACACGCGAGGCTCCTCCGCTAAGATTTCAACCATGCCAGCAAGAACTCAAAGCACAGTTTTTCAGTAACAGAGTTAGATCTAGCTTCAATTCGCTTTTACGTCGTAATCTCGTCCTCCCAAATTATTGTACTTTCAAGAGATCCATTGACAAGTTCATTTCACTTAATTGAGTTTATTATAAGATCCTATAGTTTGTTTTATTTCCTTTTTCCTTGGTTGTGTTCTTTTCATCATTTCACATGTTTACAACATGTCCGTTAAATAAAATAAAACTATCGAATCCCGTGTGTTGTGTTCTTATCGCTCTCTGTTATCGCGGACACCTCTTTTGGCGCCAACGATTACTGACCGAAATGGTAAATGACCCATCGCGAATCGAAGATCACGTGCACAGCAATTGCTCCACCTCATACGTCAACCAAGAAGAAGCTCAGGGGTTCTCTCGCCTCAACATCTTTCTTTTGGGTGCTTGAGTTTTGTGCATGAGATCGACCAATTATCTTGCGAACCACTATATAACCTATGTGGCGATCGTGTCTTAGCGTAGATAGAAGCAGGTGAACCTCGATTTATGTCTTTTCTTTGTGTACTCTGTGGTTCGAATGTTTTTGTCATGTGACGTTCAATTTCCTGACCTTGTTTCAGGACTGTGTCCAAACGTCCATTTGTTTTTCCATGGTCCATGTACCATCGTGTGATAGTGCTACTTTTTTTCTCGAGGACAGGTCTTTTTACGTCATCCCTGAACCTAGCAAAACCTTCGACATCAATCACTCTTCCTTCACTTTTGATCATCTCGTGATCGAGGAGAGTCGGTCGAATAGTTTGCATTGATCTTTCAAACCTGCACTTCGAGCCCGTCGAACTTCCATTTGTCCGTGCAGGTCGGTGATGATGACAGATGTATTTACATACTTCTCTTGCAAATGCTTCACCACCAAGGGATATTTTTCGATTTATTTGGTCTCTTTCAGCAGATGGGCGTGCTTCTCTTTTCTGGACTTAGAGTAGGTAGTTAAACTCTCGGAAATCCGACAAAGGAGTCGAATGAATTGTAGCATTGAATAACTCCCAAAACTTGTCCCACTCCAACACTCAACACTGAATTCTGAGATGGGAGTCTTTGGAAGTTCGGCTCGATTTATTGTGGAGTGCAATACTGTACCAGAACTAGTGCTTGCTTTTCTACCTCAAGCCGGGCTTGAGGTAGAAAGTCTTCCGATTCCGATGGTAAGTTCTGGCCTTTCTCCAACTGGTCGAAAATGCGCTCTTCTTCTTCGTTCTCCAGTGAGTGTTGAGGTTTGTCAACTGTTTCTGCGGAAGCGGAGAAGGCTTTTTCGAAAGATGTTTGAGTTGCACGTATATGAGCTAGTGCATTGTTAATTTGGCTTATCAGATTTTCCGCATTACATTGATCATTTGGAACTGGACCATTTGCTGAGTGGTTGTAGGTTTCCAAAAGGTCATCCAATGCACTTGCTTGGCGGTTGCTATGACTTTGCGAGCCCCGAGTGAGGCCGCCAAATATCGAATTTTGTTTTGCAATGCTTTCGAATGATTTAAACTGATTTGAAGAAGACGTGTACTGAGTGACGTGACTAGAAGTAGCTATTTGCGAGCCTGCTATTCTAGAGTCGATTGTTTATGGCTTCCCGGAATTGTAACCACGAGCACTTCACCAATTTTTAATAGCTTAAACTAAAATTCTATTTCGCTTGTATAGTGAATGAGTGAACCCTCGTTGTCGTAGCTCTTCTCATCTGGCCGATGCACCAAAGTTTTTGTGTTGAGGGTAGTCCAGATGTACAGACACAGTGTCTGTTTTGCCTGCCATGCGTCTGTTAGATACTGCTCCTTGATGCTCCTGTCGTACTCCGATGTTGCTTAACAGCTTATTGCTGGAGGACATGTAGTTTTGGCAACGAGTGTAGAAACGGTCGATCGAAGCGGTGAAGAAGAACAAGCATGAGAAGAAGCACCTTTTGGCATGTTTTATATACCGCACTCTATAGCCACGATGGTGGAGACTCAGCACTGGCTCTGGCAAGGCAGTGTTGAGACTCTAGGGAGCAAGCTTGCTAAAACAGCGATAAAACAGCCTCAGTACCCCGTACCCTGGGCCCAGCCGACTCCGGCGTCGGACGGTATGGCGACCGGTGAGGCGAAGAAATCGCGGGTTGCACAGAACGCCTTGGATTTCGGCCCATGACAGTACTACCTCCACACGACACGGAGACTATTTCCTACTTTATACCTACAATGCAAGAGCAGTCTCCTCCAATGCAGCTCTTCTTGAGCTCCTCGATGCGGCTAGTCACATTAAATATCATGTTATTGCTCTGCAAGAAACCAAAAGCCGGAGGACCGACGCACGACGAACGAACGATGGAATCCTCGTCACTCGTGGTGTCGGCGGCGTTGGTTTCATCGAGCACCCATCTGTCATCCATCTCACCGATTCTCACGAAGTCCTGTCTCCTCGCTTTGCCATCCCACGCCTACGACATACGCATTTGAAGACCATCCCTATCGTCAACTGCTACTCTCCGCACTCTACAGCTGACGAAGTAGGGCTCAATGCGTTTTACGACCAACTTGAGGAAATCATCCACAACGAAAGGTCCTTCTACAAATCCGTTGTTGGAAATTTCAACGCTAGGCTGGGCGATGCACAAGAAGAGGAGTTCAGGAGTGGAAAGTCCGGAAGACAGGAACGAGAACGGAAACCGTCTAGCTGGGCTCCTGTCCGCGGCTCGACTCTTCCATTTAAATTCTTTATTCAAGAAGAAGGAACATCAAATGGTACAACTCATGCTGAACTGGACCACATACTTACAAACAGGAAGTGGTGCTTACTAGATGGTACCATCTTTCTGCAGTGGTTCTGATCATCGACTCCTTCGCGCTAAGATCAGATTCAGTCACAAGCTTTAAAAGATCTCCCAGCATCGCGCAAGAGCTCGAAGCACGTTGTATACGACGGAGATGTTCTGAATGACGCCTTGTCCCGATATGACGGGCAGGTCTTGAATGAACCGACCGAAGACTACGACGCGCTGGTTCGGGGTCTCCCCACTTGTGCTGAACAGGCCAAACTTCCTCGAGTGGATACCTCCCCTCGCATTTCAGATGCGACGAAGGATCTTCTCAGGACAAGAAGGAACCTGAGGCTTAATCAGAACGCCACACACCTTGAAAGGCTGCAAGCGAATATCAGCTGCAGTCAGGCAGTGCGGCGAGACCTTCAGCTATACAGGGAGAGGAGACTACTGGAGACTGCCTTGAACAGGTCCAGTCTGAGAAAATACCGTCGTGATCTCCAGGACCACAGTATTCCCCTTTCGTGCTTGAAGAAGGAGGACGGAACAATTACAACATCGGGATTTGAGATGGAGGAAGTTACACGGAGGTTCGATACCAATCTGTACTGATCCACGACACACGTGCGAAAACCAGAAATCCCCTCCGGCGGAAGAGCACCACGGGCCCTTCCTTCGGAGGTAAGAGTTGCGATTGCGAGCATGAAAAGGGGTACAACTCCAGGCTCCGACAAGATCTCAGCCGGGCTACTTCGTGCAGGAGGCTACGAACTTCCTGCGCTTCTCGCAACACATGACATCCCATCGCCAGAAGAAGAAGATCCCAACCAGTGGAGGAACTCGCGGGTGGTCATTCTTCACAAGAAGGGAGGCCGAGATGATTTTCGCAATTGCCCCAAAATAGGCTTGTTAAGTGTGCTTTACAAGCTGTTCACGAAGATAATTCTGACCTGCATATCGCGAACGCTGGATGAAGCTCAACTTGTAGAGCAGGCCGGATTCCGGAAGGGATTCAGCTGCTTAGACCACATCCAAGCGGTCGCAATGATCATCGAAGTGAATTCCAAGTGCCTCTTGTTCACACATTTGTTGACTATGAAAAGGCTTTTGACAGCGTCGAAACGAATGCGTCCCTGTCAGCACTGGTCAATCAAGGAGTGGACCCTCCCTACATAAGAACACTAGCTGACTGCAGTAGTTGCTGCAGCGTGGCGGTGAAGCTGTTCAACGACCTCTCCACATTCCCATAAGTAAGGGTGTGAGACATGGTGGCAGTATTTCGCCGAAGCTGTTCACAACCGCGCTGCAGTGGGTTACGAAGTCGCTAGACTGAGAGGAAAAGGGCATTCGTGTGGATGGACGGTTCCTCTCAAATCTCCGCTTTGCGGACGACATCGTTCTCCTTTCAAGCAGCATCACGGAATCTGAGGCTTTGCTTGCTGAGCTTAATACAGCAGGCAAGAAGGTAGGACTGCGGATCAACCAAACAAAGACACAGTTCATGAAGAATGCTTGGGCCGACAAAGGTCAAATTAAGATCGATGGTACACCCATCAAGGAGGTTCCGTCCTACGTGTAATTCGGGCGTTCCATGAATATGGACAACGACATGAGGGAAGAACTGGTGAGACGGCACTAATTAGCGTGGGCAGCCTTCGGACCTCTGAAAGGGGTCACCAAACATCTGGCTGACCCGGAACGTCGCGCTAATCTGTTAGATTCCAGTTCTTGCGCTCTGTTACGGGTCGGAGACTTGGGTGACCAGTGCATCCACGTCAAGGGCTCTGAACATAAGTCACAGAGCGCTCGAGCGATGTCTTTTGAGGTTCAACCGACATACGCAATATCGAGCCGGACTCCGCAGCTCCGATATGCGCAGAATGTCTCGACTCCGCGATCCGGTGGAACACATGAAGAACGCAAAATTTCGGTGGGCCTCATACAATGAGAAGAGATGATGACGGATGGATGAAGAACAGTCGAGTGGGCTCCCATAGGATCTCCACGATCTAAGGGCAGGCCTGCTGCGAGATGGGGGATGTGCTTCTCGACCACGTGAAACAGCTGCTATAGCAGCTGAACGACTCCTTACGTCGCCATCTTCGTCGATTCCCGAGTTTACCAAGGATGGCGATTGCGAAAGACAGAAGCATGGTTTGTTGCTGGTGCTCGCACATGAGTGAAGACGAGCTGTATAAGTATGTACGTAAGTAAGTTAGTTAGTAAGTTAGTAAGTAAGAAATTAAAACTGCTAAATGAGTCTACCAGAAAAATTGTTAGCCCTCAAAGATTGTGTGGGCCATGCATGGACAGTAGTGCCACTTGGAATGCGGAAATGCTCGTTACAGTCACAAGGGTCGCCGTGGCGTAGTGGCAGTACTCTCTCCCTCCAAGCGAGCGAGGTGGGATTGCTTCACGACGCCGCGCGAGTTTTTGCAAACTGTGCCTTCTTTCGAATAAATGCTCTTAAACCGTTTTTTGTAATTCAAGCTAGTGCCTTATTTCTCCATATGTAATAACAACTTTGTCATCGTTGAATATAAGCCAGTTGTACTCATTTGATACTTGTAAGCCGAGGAAACTCGTTTGCAAAATTTTCGTCGTATGTCAATGTGTAAAAAGTCTACTCATGTTTTAGAATGACTCCGTGGTTACCGTGTACGTACGGCAAACTGATCCTTGTCATGAAACGAGAGTGAGGAGACAAAATATCATCTTTGTGCCCCTGTTGGTAGTATAATATAAAAGGATGATGGTTCATGGCAATTAACATATTGCAGCTGGATGGAGTAATTTCTCACACGGTGTGGTTAAGTCTTGTAATATATGAAAAGGGTGAGCACGGTGGGGCAGAGGCTCTGTCATGAAGGCACTGGCTAGGGCTACTAAATTGGGATACAATGCGACTCCAATAGGACACTGGAATGCAATCGTTAGCTTGAATCTGTAAAAAAAACGGCATAGGAGCATTTATTTGATTGCAAAATTTTGCGCGGCGTCGGGAAGTAAGCCCACCTCGCTCGCCTGGAAGGGGAGAGCACTGCCACTGCACCATGGCGACCCTTCTGACGACAACGGGCAAATGCGCATTACAAATGGCGCTACCTCTCAATGCATTGAGCAAGCAAACTCCGGAGGTTCATAAGTTTTTTGATAGACTCACTTGGCAGTTTCGATTTTTAAATTTGTAAAAGGTATTAGGAACTCTATCGATATACCTAAGTCTCTATCTTCAGTTCCATTAGAATTTGAAACCCTTTCTGGTAAAGCATAACGATTCTCGATTCTTCTATGCGCTAAGGTTTCTGAAGGAACTGGTGTGTCATGTTCATTCAGAATTGATACAAAAGCTATTCGACAGCTCACCAAGGCTCGAACACATTTAAGTGCACCAGACATTCTGACGCCCAACATGTTCTAGTCCGGAATCATCAGCTAAAGCACATCAGCGCACATTACAAAAAGTAACTCACAAAAATCCTCTATATATAAAGCGCTAACTTTGTGTGTCCGTTCGTATGCCCGTTTGTGTGTCCTGCCAAAAGTCACGTAGGCCCGATCAAGAGCGTGTAGGTCACGTGAGCGCGATGAGAAAACAGTTATGACATGGAAAGTCAAGTGATGCTCTTTATATTGGTCCGTTGATTAATATTCAGTCTATTTATGACGTCACAGACTGAAAATCACAACTCGCCTTCCATGACGCAGGAAAATCAGACCCTTAGGAACTAGAGGAGGTTGGAATGGAGATCACCTATTAGTGTCAAGAGATCAATATCCACAAAACGGCATCAGATCATTCAAATTGGGGAATATCACCTAATTCTTACGCACCAAACATTTTTCTGGATATTTGCCGTTGTGCTACATTCCTATACCATGGACGATTCATCTGTCCATTTGCAGCCAACTGAGAGAGGAGAGAGGTTGAACTCGTGGACAGAAAAATTTTCTTTTACCGGAAAGACCTTCGGCAGTTAACCTATTTTCCAGACTAGACGTGTAATTCTCTATCCTTGGTATATATAATCCAAAGTTAGGTATGTATGTCTGTTCGTATGTAGGTTTGTCTGTCTGTCACACAATCCGGTTTTACTTGAAAAAAAAAAACACCTTTAGAGGTCGGAGCAAATTCGGGATGGGTGGAGCCCAAGACAAAATCAACAGAGCACATACGAGCTCTGCAGAGCAAGTGCCGGAATGGGCAATGCCATCATTCAAACATCTTATTTTAGCTTCGAAAAAGTCCAGACAGCAGGGAAAAATGTTCAAAGATGAGGATTGGGCCAACAAACCAGGCGGAGGAGACCCATGTGTTGTGGGCGGAGCCCTCTCAAAATGGGCAGTACTTTTCAGATGTATTCGTAACTCCATTTAATTAAGGTGCAGAGGCCAGGGAAAAAAATAAGAGTGAGCATGGCCTTATGCGTGCTAGGCATGCGTAAGGCTAGCGAAGCCCCATTCATGATGGGCGGGGCGTGCGATGAGACGAAAGCCACTTTTCAAAAATGAATGCAACTTTGCTTGGAATCGTTCTAGAATGCGGAAAAAAGTGATTGCAGGTAATGGACAAATGTGGCCAAATCCTCGAAGTGGGCGGGGTTGGCACTAAAGTGGGCGGGGCTTAGACAAAAATTTATAACTCTATTCAGAAACTTTCTAGAAACGGCCCCATTTCACATCCCAGAAAAATGATGGCCGCTACAGAAGTGTAAGGGAAGAGGCCCAGTGATAATAAAGGTCTATAGTGAAAATCAGATCATGTGGCTCCGTCCTCATGGCTATAGCCCTTAGCGCGATAGCGTGCGTAGCTCAGGAAATGAACAACCTTCCCCTCAAGTACCCAGAAATGATTGACCTACCACGGTCCAGTGTCACCAGATCGAGAGTATTTCAGTATACAGGTTTAGACTATTTTGACCCATCGACAGTCTTTCGCGAAGAAAGAGAAAAGAAGGAAAAGATCTGTATTTATGAACGTATATTCAATTGTGCAGTAACATGAATGATACATTTGGAGTTGGTACTCGGTAATACGACGGAGCAATTCCTCACCGCTTTTCGCCGCTTCGTCGCAAGACGGGGGAAGCCACAGACAGTTATCTCTGACAACGCTAATACATTCTGGTTGGGCAGCCACGTATTTAACCAATCTCTCGGGAAAAGCGAAGAAGAGCCGTCCATCAACAAAGCGATGAGCAACAACTGCACAGAATGGCATTATATAACACCGTTTTCACCCTGGAAAGGTGGCTTCTATGAGCCTCTCATAAAATCGGTTAAAAGTTCATTATTCAAAGCAATAGGAAGACGGATTCTCATTATTGACCAGCTCACCACGCTCCTGCATGAAATAGAAGCATGTTTAAACACAAGAACTCTCCTTTTAGAACAAGAACATATCAAGAAACTGATCCCGAAGGAAGCGGGGTCTGGGTAGTGTAAGGGATAGGAGCACGGTGCCCGGAAAGCACAAGTACGGGTTCGAGTCCCGTCCAAGACTGAAATTTTGTCCATAAATCGCCAACCTTGTGAGACTTTAGGAACGCGCACTGCGGCGATATAACAGCAGTTAACAAAACATCAAGTCAAAACAAGTTATGTGAGTGCTGATAAGCTATGTATGTATGTGTTGTTTGTATGTGTGTGTATGTGTGTATGCGTGTATGTGTGTATGTGTGTATGTACGTGTGTGTATGTATGTATGTATGTGTGTATATGTGTATCTTTGTATATGTGCATGTGTATATGTGTATATGTGTATATATGTATATTATATGTGTACATGTGAATGTGTATGTGTATATGCGTTCAAGCTCGGTAGAAGCACAGGCTGCAGGATGGGAGCACTTAGGGTGGGTAGCAGGACCGGACTTCGCCAGCAGGGGGCGGTGTTTGTGCGAAACTAATGTTTGAGCGGAAGATCATAACTCCTGTCCCCTTGGACCTAGAACGTTCAAGTTTGAAAGAAATGCTGGGGGCAGGATGGGAACACTTATGGTGGGTAGCAGGATCGGACTCCGCCCACAATGGGCCAGGTCTGTCCCCTTGGACCTAGAGAGTTCTAATTCGCTAGGATTACAGGAAACAAGATGGGAACACTCATGGTGGGTGTCAGAACTAGATCCCGTCCACAGGAAGCGGGTTTTGCACTGAAATAGTCAATTTGAACGTAGGGCGTTCAAAACTGGTGAAGAAATGTAGGCATAGCATAACATAACGCGAACAAAACCATCCAGGGTGGATTATCTAGGCACTAATGGTGAAACTCAAACCAAAAATCGACGACCTCAACCGAGTACATTTCAGAGTCCTGGAAAGTTGGGTGAGGACGCGAACCAAACCTGCGATCCTCACGTAAAGTCGCTGCCTTTTCTTCGAGAACGATACATATGATGGAAATTATTGTTATAGGATCAAAAGAAGCGTTGTGAACAAACTGTCCAATGTGGATTATATAGACACTAGTGGTGAAGCTCACACCAAAAGTCGACGACCTCAATCAAGTACGTTTCAATGTTCTGGAAAGTTGGGTGATTAAGTGAACCAAACCTGCAATGCTCGCGTAAATTCGCTGCCTCTCCTTAGAAAACGATGCATATGATGGACATTATTGTTATAAGATCAAGAGAATAAAGCGGTTATTATAGCCATGCCTAAACACTATCAGTTATGGAGCGCCAGTTTATTACTCTGATGATGTTGTATTTCTCTTATTCGTTGCTTTGCATCGAGTTTTGGTGTGCTCTTCCTCATTCAAAAAATTTTTCGCAAATTTACTCATATGAATTGTTATTGTCTTGAAAGCTTCATCGTTACTCAATGTTAAGTGCCGAACTGTTCTCCACTAGGGCGTTCTGTCATATTTGTTGGCACATTTCAACTCGCATAATGTTTCTAGGATCTTTTCCGTTCTATATTGTTGCTCTCGAAATCAGAACTGCACATCGATTCTTATTTTCATATTCGTGAGCGTCGTCAAGCATTGAACCACCATTTCCTTTGCTCTGTTCATAATCCTCTTGAATAAAACTTGGAAACAATAGAGGCGACAATGAAAAAACACTTATGGTGGTTGGAAGGAAAGGACTCCTCCCATAGGGGCGGGCTTTGTGCGAAATAAATGTTTCAGCTTAAGAACATAACTTCTGTTCCCGTGGACCTAGAAAGTTCTAGGATTACAGGAAACAAGATGGTAACACTTATGGTGGGCAGCAGGATCGAACTCCGCTCACAGTGGGCGGGGTTTGAGCAGAAATACATAAATCCTGTCCCCGTGGAACTAGAACGTTCAAATTTGGTAGCAGTACTGGGGGCACGATGGGAACGCCTACGATGGGTGGCAGGACTGGACCCCGCCAACAAGGAGCGGGGTTTGCGCGAAATTGTCAGTTTGACCCTAGGGCGTTCAAATTTGGCAGGAGTACAGGCGACAGGATCGGAACACATATGGTGGGTGGCAAGACCGGACTAAGCTCACAATGGGCGGGGTCTGAGCAGAAATTCACAACTCCTGTCCCCTTGGGCCTAGAACGTTCAAATTTGGTAGCAGTACTGGAGGCACGATGGGAACGCTCACGATGGGTGGCAGGACTGGACAACAATCCAATTGGACTATCGTGGCACTAATGGGTAGAGCTCAAACAAAAAATCGACGACCTCATTGAAGAACATTCCAGTGTTCTGGAAAGCCGGATAGAGACGTGAAGCAAACCTACGACGCTCACGTGAGTTCACTATCTTTCCTTCGAAAACTCCTTGATGTCGATAATTGTTGTTAGAAGACCAAGAGGAAAGAGCGTGCCATTCTATCATTTTGATTATGCTGATACCTCTCAATCAGGATTTTGTACCAAGTTCCGGTGTGTTCCATCTATTTCACTCTTTATTTTCAAAAATTTTCTCCTCTGAGTTGTCAGTTTTAAGATTGATAGATCCATTCTTTCTATTAGTCTCGAAAGCGTCATCATGTAGTCGATGTTATGTGCCAAACTGCTCTCCACTAGGGCGTTGTGACATATTTGTGCACATGTATTGACTCTAGCAATAATCTTCGAAAATTTAGCTTCCAAATTGACGTTTCAAATTGAAAAGTTGCAGATCGATTTTCATCATCATATTCTGGAGTTTCGCCGAGCATTGAATGCCCTCTTCTCCGCTCTGTACAGAATCCTCTCTAGAGTGTGGATGAAGGGGGGATTGAGTGAAAATTGTTAGTTTGGCTCTGGCGCGATAACGTGATAGCACTACAGGCGGCTGAATAGGAACACTGATGGTTGGTGGTTGGTGGCAGGAATGAACTGCGTCCAAAAGGGCGGAGCGTAAGCGAAAGTTGTTAATTTGGACCTAGAGCATCCCAATTTGGTAGAAGTACTGGGGGCACGATGGGAACGCTCACGATGGGTGGCAGGATGGAGCTCTCCGCCTACGAGAGGTTGGGGAGGGTGGGAGGGGGGGGGGGGGGTTAGCAAGAATTTGTTTCGTGGGGGAAATTCACAACTCCTGTTCCCGTGGACTTGGAGTTTAAACCCTGTAGGCGTAGAAGCGGCAGGATGGAGACACTTATGTTAGGTGGCAGGACCGCACCCCGGCCACAGGGTGCGGGGTTAGCACAAAATTTATCAATTTGGCTGTTGTGCGTTCAGACTTGGTAGAAGTACGGGAGGCAGAACGGGAACACTCACGATAGGTAGTAAGGCTGTACCTCCCTCACTCGAGGTACTAAAAATCGGGAAAAGAAGCGGGGAAGCTTAATTTATCAGAGTATATATACAACATCAAACTAATCAGCAATTCAAGCTGAAAGCAACATCGTTGTGAACGCAACTATCCAATGTGGACTATTTAGGCACTAAAATAGGGGAGCTTGAATCTGGATTCGTCCTTATTCATAAACATTCCGGAGTCCTGAAAAAACGGATAGACTGGGGAAGGAAAAAATGTCATACTATGGAGTTCTGAATTCTCCTTCTCCATGATTATGAGCCAAATTTTGATTGCTCACGAGAGTTCGCTCCCTTCCCTTCAAGAACTCCTTGATTTCGATTTCCATTGTTATAGGGTCAAAAAAAAAACAAGGGGTTCATTGGTCATTGGTTTCGTGCTCCAAGCATCATCAAATATTGTGTGCCAGTCCCGGTACTCTGATTATGCTATATTCCTCCTATTCAGAGCTCTATATCATAATACAATAATAATGCTCCCTCTATTTCGTACACTTTTCGGAATTTCTCCATCTGTAGTGTAATATTTAAGTTTGAGAAAAGCAAAACTACTTTTTTCTCTAATATTAGGTTGGCGCATAACTCTCTGTACATTTTCCACTCATCCACTCAGCTGATGAGGTATTCATAGTCCGTATCTCCATGTCTTTCCGAG